CACAGCGTGGTGCTGCATCTTGCTTTCACAGTGCTTAGACAGCATGTCCTTGGCTCTGTGCAGCCAAAGGCAAGCTCTTCTGCAACCCACTCCAACTGCTCCCTTTTCGCACCATGGAGCAGGAAGCAGAGACCAAACAGCAAGTGTTGTTGCTTTACAGCACATCTGCTGGTTTCCCTGGGCAGCTCTCTGTCTTAAACACCCAGTGTCACCTACTTATCTTTCCAGCTACAAGAACGTCATGCTCCTGTTTGTACCTCTGGGACTTGCACGTGCCCTGCGGCAGGCAATCCATTTTCTCTGCTGGCTCACCTATGCCAAAGCAGAAAACATTCACCTCTTGCAACATTTTCCCAGTTGGTAACTTTTCCCTGCTCAGTCATCTCACTCCCGACCCACATGCACCACGTGGATGCAGGATCCTCCCCTCTACTAGCGGTGAGATTTTGCATTTTTACTTTTGCTACACCTTCATGCATCCAAGAGGAATTTCTTAGCGCAAACGGGAAGAGAATTGGCCCTTTGAGTGCATGTTATACAGACTGCTATACTAGTAGAGACCTGCAACGCCACCACATCATATAAATTTAAGTGATGGTATCCTTAGGGATATGGAAATGACGTTAGTGGAACAGGTCAGAAACCTAACTCTGCTCTCGGAAACACCAGCGTGCTCCACTGAGGAGGGTCTCTAGCTCCACGTCAGCCTCTTGGCAGCCTTCTGGCTGTGGGAAAGGACCCTCAAACTCCCCTAAATGGGCCAGCTAAGGATTCCCTCCTTTAAGAGGAGCCATGGGATGGTGGAGAGCCAGAGTAGCCAGGTCAGCACCTTCCCTCTCACAGCTTTGGGCAGAGAGAGGCTTCAGTGGGGAGAGGCCATAAGCAGACTACCACCGCAGTCTCACAAGCCAGACAGAAATCACTCCTTAGCAGTATCTCTGAGACCGCTTTAACCTACTCTTAGGACTGATTTGGTAACCAGCCATCCCTGGGACTCATGTACCAAACAGGTGGCACATTTACCTTCATCTCCTCTTCCCGGCAGGTGTCCTAAGCGCAGTTTAACTGAGTCAGGCCAATGACTTCCACAGTTTTATTTTTGCTTTAGATAGCCAGGGCAAAAGGGGCAACAGGTAACCAAAGGCCTGGCCCTGCCTGTTAAAATAAAAATTGTCATAGTGCCTCTCAAGGATGTGACATTTGCACACTAATTCACAACGTGTGCTGGTCCAAACCTGATACACTAACGTTCTGTTACCACTGAGTAAATAGAAAGCTCGAACCATACAAAAGACACTTCGGGGTTTGCTTCTATCTTACGTAAACCAGTTGTATGCCAATTTAATTTCCCTGGCTGAAGTAGAACGACTGCTGAGTTTGTATCAGCTGGAGATCAGAATCCTGTGTGCAATAACCAAGAGCATGTTAAACGAATTCAAACTTAACAAAACAGCTTGCATTTTATACAGTCAACTGCTGGCTTTCTATTTTTGTTATATAACTTAACTACTGGATTAAGAAAGTCAAGATTTTTCCTTAAGAAAGCACAGCTCTGCAAATCTAAAACAAATTCAAAGGGCTTTGTGGAGCAACTTCTTACAGATTAGGAAAGTAAACAGAAGAAACAGATCCTGATGCTATCAGAAAAAACGTGCTCTGGATTAATGAGATTTGTTTGTGCAGATCTGGCTGTGAGTAAACAGGGCCATGTGGGTACCGAATAGGGTTACTGTCATGTATTGTTTTTAAATTTTCCACCACACTGAGCATTTTGGTAGACCACCCTTGTGCCTACTGCAACCTGAGACGCGAGATTAGCAAAGATGCATCTACTTCCAGAGGTGCTTGTAAAAGCACATTCAGATAAGGTGTTGAAGACCATGACTTCTTATATGGGCATAACTTTCACTCACTGCTCTAGTAAAAGTATCCTTAAAAATATTCAACCCCTTCAGAAATGGAATGTCACACATCACCAAAGGCAGCCTGAATTTTGCTGCTTAGGACTGCTGTTCCTAAAAGTTTCATATCTAGTAAGATTAAGATCATAGTATTCCTGTTTTTCAAAACATTAATTTATCTAATTCCCTAAATTCCATTTATCTAATTTATCTAATACCCTAAATTCCATTAATTTATCTAATTCCCTAAAGCTTATATGTGACAGGTAATGACTGACAAATTTTCATAATTTAATGCACTTCTCTAAGGGCTAATCACTTGGCGGAGAAGGGACAATTACAGCAGGCAGAACCACAAGTATTTGCATTTCAATATATATGATGGAAGATATGCACATATTACATCACTACCCTTAGAATTTAAATTATCAGTTGATTAATTCAACCTATGATGCTTTTGTGTATTGTAGATTATTCATTTAACTTCCTCACTCATATATCCCCCAAGGATTATCTCTAAATTTTGAAAAAAATTACTCACTCTCTATCAACAATCTATAAGACTTGTAAACAAAGTCCCATTCTACTAGTGTTTTCACTGTACTAGCTACTGACATGCAATATATACTTGCATATATTTGGAGTTTTTAAATATTGGAATTTTAATTTATTCCACTTGTATCTCCTCTTCTTGCGGACACTTCTTATCATCTAAAAATGACAGCAACTGATTTTGCAGTTCTGTGACAATCCCAACTTTAGTTTAGGCTTTAATATGCACTTGAAGAAAACCAAGGGGAAGAGTTTAGAATTTATTTATAAAATATTTTAATTAAAAGAAGTTTTTAGCCCTTTGGTTGTGTAGATAGACCTTCTTATGTACTATGAATAAATATACTTCTGTCTACTTTTTGACTCTACAGGCAGGCAGACCTGAAGCAGCATCATTATTTTATTCTGTGAGATGCCAAGACGCAATTATTTACATAAAAATGCTATTAACCAAGCTATCCAACACAAACACGCACTCATGCCATGGCAACTTCAAAACGCAGTCCTGATTCTAACCTCTTAAAGAATTCAGGTTTTTAAAGACTGAAACTGTATCAGAATCTGTAGATAAACAATCACATATGGTATTGTAACACTTCCTGCCCAGACCTAGTAAAAATAACTTAGCTACTTTAATTGAAATGGCTAGGATTTAGGAAACAGTATTGCCATAAATCTGCTTTAGGGCCATTTGTGTAGAAATACACCTGAACAGTAAAATCTAGACTTTGCTATGAAAACCTACTCAAATTCCAGAAAAATCAGTGTTAAAGGATTGTGCAGGTTAAAATGAATGGCAGTTACAAGCAAAAAGAAAAAAAACTGCACATGGTCTGCAATCACCAGGAAAATCCACTGCTGATGGAGTTCATGCAGATTAGTTATGTAGCTGGATAATAAAACTGGAAATGTTTATGACCAAGTGTTATTTGAACTTCCCTCGAATAAGATAAGGATAATCACGCTCTGCGTTCCAAACCATAAACTGATCCACCCAGTTTTCCACCCACTCAGATTTCTCCCAGTGCAGGGCATTCACAACAGATTCAGGGCCAGATCATAAAGTTCATTGGACATCAGGCCCTCTAGAACGCAGTCCCAAGAACCTACAGCTAACCAACTGGACACAAGTCTGAATCTCATTCCCCTCCAAAACACACCTCAGTCAGGAGCTGTAGGTGCCTCCAGAGCCTGGAATCCTCCCCTGAAGATAAATGACGGGAACTCAGTGCTCACTCCTAAAATGTGTCTAGAGGAGGAATAAGAGGCATCCGTTTCTTATCTGATAACCAACCGGTTAAAGCACTCAGCAAAGCGAAGAGGCTAGGCTCAAGTGTCTTCCTTAGCCTCATGGATTCAGTCTCACATCTCCCACTTCTTAGGGGTGCAGGAGGCATCCAGCTGCAAAGGGCATGGGGGTGAGGAGAGGAAAGGTATTCCCTTCTCCCATTCCTGAACTTGTGCAACATGAAAAAAGGAATGGGCCTAGAGAAGGCATAAGAATGAGTAGGACTTGTTGCTTCTTCCTCTTCTGGCAGTCACGATTTAAAAACTGTGTTGCTATTACCGCATTTTAGAAGTATCCCGATCCCACTGCAGTACTAGGTGTGCTCTGAGCATAGCTGAGAGGAGCTGACTGCTTCAACTAGATTTTGAACTGGGGCGGGGAAGACAGGCATCTCAGACCAAGGTGTTTCTAGTCATCTCAGAAGCAAAACTGTGCCATGTATCTAAAAATAAAAGAATACAATGTTAGCGGCCTAGCTGGTTCAGCCTCCAGAGTAACTACAGTTGCATGAAACCCTCTTAGAAACCTGATCTTAAAAATCACAGCTGAATATGTCGAGGAGAAACACCTGGAAGGAATTTTAGTCCCTTTTACAAAACATTATATGGGATAGTACTGGATGAAGTAGTACTTGGGCATCCCAGTGAGACAACTCCCTGCAGTCCCCAAAGCACCTCTCCTAACCCACCAGAGAGGAATAACAAAAACGCTTGATGATGGCTATATCTTTCCTCTGCAAGTTACTTATACCAAGAAAGATGACAGAATACATTGTAAGTGGTCTGACGAACACACACCTTTCTTTACCCCTAGGTATCCAAAATGTTTACCTCAAATAAACATTTTCCACTACTGAAATTTATGTAGCTATGCACTGTTCAATGCTGGTTAAAAAAAGTGGATACACATGAAACGTGTTCAGTATTTTGAACGTGGAACCTACTGTAGGGCATAAAGAAATCAAAGGAAATTGCTATCTTTTTCCAAAATTACACTGTCTTGGCAACTTCCACCGGTTTATGGTATTCTATTTTTTTTTTTTATTTTTTTTCCTGAAAACCTCAACTCCTCCCCCGGTAAGCGTGAAAGACACGGTTTTGTTTGTTAGAAGTAGGCTTCTAAAACCAAAAAACTAAAAACAACGCTCCTAACTCTCAGGCCTCAAATATCTTTTACCAGAAGGTAAACAACAACCCTTTGCAAAGTGACGTTAGGAAATAACTCCGTCAAACTGGCTGGATCCGACTCCGGACTTCCGAATGAGCAGTTTCGCGACCCAGTTCCACCACGAGACCACCCCCCCACCAAAACCGAAACCCACCGGCTGGTAACACACCCCCTTCCAAGGGGAGCGGGGCA